GGCCATGCATCTAGGCAATACTGATGAACAAATTCTCAGCTGTGGAAACAATCTTGTACTCTCCTGAAGCATCCTGTGCCTGGCACTGCCAAAGATAGGTTACAAGGCCAGAGGGACGAGTAAAGAATTCTGAGGTGTTTCCAGGATTAAATGTGAAATGAGCTGTGATTCTGGATGTCTCTCTCTAGCCAAGGAAGTACAGACAAGTACCTGTGTGTATTTGTATTTGTCTGGCACAGCTATAGGACACGGAAACTTAACAGTGGAATCATACTCAAAAGTCATGGAAAGATCATCTCTTGTTAGCTGATTTTGGCAGTCTAAGCGATGATACATTTGTGGAACTGAGAGCCACAATCCTTCAGATGTGGACAATGTCATATCTAGTATGCTGTCTGTCTACAGCAGTTGCTAATAACACTTTTTGTTATATAGCCACTCTTATTAACATTAGGGGCTTTTATGAGATGTTTCTGGATTTTTTCTTTTTTTTTTTTTTTGTGTGTGGAAAGGTATCCTAAAGCTAGAATGCATATCTAATATTTTCAAAATAAACAGAAACTTTTGAGGCAGTGCATATTTAATAATCTGTGGATTATTAAGAGCATCTTTGAGATGGTCGGGGGGTGCTGACCCAAAAACCTATTCTTGGTCCAGAAGGCACTTGATTTTCAGAGCAAGTTAACAGTCCACTAAATGAGCAGAAACTTAGAGGTTATTCTGTCTTCACCTGGATATAAAACACAGCTGTCTAAAAATAAAGGAAAGAGAAGTATCGACTGCTGATACTTATTCCTTAGCTTCATTAGTACTCAAGACCTGAGCTCAAGTAGGAAGTAGCATTCCCTCTTCCAGAGAGACTATCATGACTGAAGATGTTTGGTGGAGTAATAACTGCCCTATTTATTTTGGACTGTGCCTATGCTGAACTAGTTCAGGACTCCAAATGCTGTTGCAGCATAAACAGTAATGCTTATTCTTTTTTTTTTTTTTTTGGGGGGGTGGGGGACTTAAATCGTGTTAGAATTTTACAAGTGTCTGGCTTGAGGCTCTAAAATTGGCTGATGAATGTTGGAAGCCATCCACTCTCAATCATGTACTAGAACAGGAGTTCTCTGAAACAACTGCCAAGATTTGTATTATCAGTTGCCCCATGTAGCCATTGGCCTAGCTGCAGACATAATTTTGGAGGGAGTTTAAAATTGTCATTATACCTCTGAGGTATACCTGAGATATGTTCTGGTAGTAGAAGCTTCTGTTCTTACTAGCAGAATATTTTTCTCCCTTAGTTCTATCATGTGTGAGTTGCAGGACAAATGCTCATGCCTTGAGCTCTCTCTCTTGAATTCCTCATTTGTTCTCTCATTCTAGCTAAAAATACCAAGGCTCATATAATGGAAAGTTATTATAGTTCCTTTCCAATATCTTACACCACAAAGTTCTGTCTCTTTATGGAAATCACTGAGACAATGCTTTTTCAGCTTATTATTTTGCAAGAATGATAATTCTGATTTATTCTTTTCATCCCTACTTGTCTTCTTAGTAATGGAGAAAGAACAAAATTACAGAGAGAAAAGGATGCATGAGAAAAGAACACAATTTCCTATACAGGTTATTTACATACAAGTGCCTTTACTGGTTATAAAAATGCACATTAACTAACACAGGGCAGAAGTGTTCTAGAATTAATTTTAAAAAATTAGTACTATAAATAAATACTAATGCTTGGTTGCATTATTATAACACTACTTACCAGAATGCCTGAATACCCAGAGGTGTCCAAGTGGGGATATTTTTTATAATTATCAGGTTGCAGAGGGTGAGCTGTATTTTCTGAATAGCAATTCTTCATGTTTTCCTCAGGTCTTAGACTGGCCAATCAAAAATTAGGGCGAACCAGCCCGATTCATCACTTTTGAAAGTTTTGGGCTAAGTGAATGGAGTTGTCCCTCTAATTTTGTAACATCTGAGCTGAAGCATTTCTGGGTTTCTGCTGTTCCAATTCTCATGACTGGGCTTTTTTGAGTCAAGAAGCTGATGCAGTTTATCCAAGTCCACCTGAATAAACAGAAGGGTGTAAGATCTATCTAAAGTTTTAAGAGTCTGCCACTTACTGCCATCCAGTTAAGCTTTAAATTTCCAACATTACACAAGTGTCTGCAGATTTATCCTCTAGTTAGTTTGGTACTGAAATACATCCTCTTGACAAGGGAAGTCAGCAAATAAAGGCAAGCTTAAATAAAATAGACCCCATGTTCTCATGCCATGATACTTAAAATTATTTTCTTTACATATTTGCCTAAAAGAAATGTCATGTGGTGCTGGAGGTCACACTCCCACTTGTCCTCACTGGGTGGGGAAAAAAACGTCACTGCACTGTGTCTAAAATACTGTCCCCAGAGTCCTATCGCCTATCAGCTCCTCCAGCTCTGAGAAAGTTGTTGATTCCCTGCCACTCAGCAACAGCAGAAGGAATTATAAGTTTCCTTCCCCTGGGATGCATTTGGCCCTGTTCATAGAGCCCCTCTCCAGGGTAGTGTTCAGCACTGTTTCATTCTGCCAGTGCCCATGTCCCATTGCAGGGTGTCCTTCCACAGGGATGTGCTACACCAGATGCAGGTCACACCATTAACTGAGACTAACATCACATGCCGTGTATGGGTAAGGCTCACAAATATACATAAATATCACTGCTTGTTTCCATGGTAACTTTGATGCTTCAGAATGGAAAAGATAAAAAAGCCAGGAACAACAGGAGACATGCAGGGAGGTAACAGCACTTCAGTCACATATATTTGAATTGCCCTGTGCTATTCTGCAATGCCAGAAATCCCAGGTACGCCAGACAATCATGCTATGATGATTCTCCAATGATACTATGATTTCTATATTTACCCATCCCATAGTTAATTTGGCTATATATTTTTTGTAGTCTTGGGGTTTGTTTTGAAGTTTACTTTCTACACAAGGTATTAGGAAAAGGCAGTGACTGCTATGTATCCTCTAAGTACAGTATAGAGATCAGTGGTATGAATGCTTTGAAAGCTATGCCATGCTTTTTACAAATACAGGGATTTATGTATGGAACCCACATGGGAGTACAACTGGGATCAAACAAGAGAAACATTGCTCCACCTTTTCAAAAGTGTTTATCTTTGTAAAGTTGAAAAGCACTTTGATCTCATTTTGTTAATTGACAGCACTTATTTTTTGCTGACCTGTCATGAGTTTAATGCCTAATCATGTAGTGTATGCATTCATTTCTCTGTTGAAACCTGGTTTTGTTTCAGTTTCACTTAAGTGGCAATTGTGTGGCAAAGTCCATGGGAAGACTAATCTTGGTACTGAGAGAGAGAATTGGTATCTCGTCATTGCCACCACCTCATCCATCATCATTATCCTCATCTTTGTCAAGAGGTCTCCTCAGGCTAAGGTAAATGTTAAGGAAATTCCCGGGTGGCATCCTGGCAGTCACACACACACCACCTGAGCAGGGACCGAAGCCCTTTCAGTTCCACAGCCCGGATTCAACACAGACCCACCAGGTTTCCTTACCTCCAACCAGCTGGTCCCTAGCATTCCTATAGCAGAGTCTCAGATGTCCCGATCCTTAAGATAATATAATCTCAGTGCTATAACTAAATTACAAAATAATGGTGCCTCCAGTGAGGGACCGCAAACAAAGGAAACCCTTGAGAGCCTCCTCTTAAAGGAGACCCTTAGTGTGTCAAGCGAGGGGATCGTGGGCTCCTGCCATGTCTTTGAGGGTCCGGTACCCTGGCCAGCACCACAGGTCCCCCGCCCCTTTGTTACGCAAAGGGTTGGCACTTCACGGCCCCTTGCCTGAGGCTCTCTCAGCTTACAAACCGAGCTACCTGCACTGAATGTATTCCTCAACAGTAAAGAAACCAAAATATTTTGTATCTAGTCCTTAGATTTCACTGACGATTTACTCTGCTCGTGACTGTTGCCTGTTTCCATCAGGTCAAGCTCTGCAAACATTGCACCAGAGTCATTAGGAAGAGTATGACAATCTGTCTTTCTGAGGGAATTGATTGCTGTGCTGTCAATCAGTTCAGCAGTGTCCTTTCCGGACAGAGTGTGACTACTGAGGAGAGTCCACATTTCAAATTACTGTGTTCTATCTTGTATCTTTCCCAGGAATAACACTGGGCTTGAGAAACCCGACTAGGTGTTGACCGTGGCATGTTTAGGAAGGAGGGAGAAACAGACCTAATGATGCCTGAGCAATTAACCTGATTCACCTGCTAATCTCCTTTGAAGATGGGGACCTTGAAGCTGATCTACAATTGAAGAGAAAACCCCGGCTACTACTGCAACTGTTCCTCTTAGCTAACGCTCTTTGAAAAATTCACTCTAATGCCTCCATTACACAGAAGATGAGCTGTTTCATATTTTTCTTCACTGATACTGCTCTTCCTAGTAAATTCGTAGGTAGTAGCTTAACCTAGGGACCACAAGGCTTGGCTAATAGAAGTCAGTCCAGCTGCATCAGAAGAGATGGAGACATTTCTTGCTATTGTTGCTGTGTTAAGAGCATCGAAGAATGAAAACAACTCTCAGAGGATTTACAGCCCTTACCACACACTGAGACACAGCACTGAGGATTCAATAACAGGAGCCCTCCAGGCCCTTGAAATGCTTCTTTCAATGAGCATCCACTCCATCACACCAAGGCTAAGCGTAAACATACTTTTCTATCCATATACTTGTCTCGGCCACGTATTGGGTTTTCCTGATAATGCCACGGAAACTCTGAAGGAGAAAGCAGTACAGCTACTCCTGGTACTATTTCTGTATCGAGGATCAAATTAACATCCCCGAGGGTGGGACAGCTTAGTAAGACTTCAGTGGGCTTGTCTGAGGGCTCTTTTTAAAAACAAGAAAATAATTTGGAACCTGCGGGGTCGTGCAATGAACACTGACATGGAAGAGGTGGAGGGAAGGATGGCGCTAAGGGGCAATGAGTGAGACCTCACTCAGCTTTTCGGCATGAGACACTCGGGCCGCGGCCGTGGAGGTGGCAGCAGACCTGGCTCTCGGGTGCTGCCGCCCACCTCTCCCGGGGCCGCCGGAGCACAGCGTGCTCCCTGCACGGCGGGGCAGGCGGCCGGGAGGATGGGCTGACAAGCCCGGGAGCAGGCACGGGTGCCCTCCCGCCGCTGGCCGCCCGCCGCCTGCGCTGTCCGGGGCGGAGAGCTGGGGCCGCTCGATTGCGGGCCGGGAGCTGCAGGTGCGCTGCCTGCCGCGCCCCGCTCCGTGGCGGTCCCGCCCGTGCCTGGCGAAGAAGGCGGCCGCAGGTGCCCGGCCGGCCCCGCGGCAGCAGCAGCGCGGCCGCAGGTGCGGCGGGAGGCCGGCAGTACCGCCGGGCCCCCGCAGAGGGCAGGGCCGCCCCGCGGCTGGGCCGCCCCGCTCCGCCAGGCCGGGCTCCGTCCGGCCTCACTCCGGGCAGCGAGCGCGGCCGAGCCGAGCCGAGCCGAGCGGTAAGTGACCCACCGGCGGGAGCCGTGACCGCCGCGGCCCGAACGGCCGTCCTTGAGCCCGTGCCCATCCTGCCACGGCACTGCTCTGCCCGAGCAGGATAGGTCCGCTGTGAAGAGCCTGACAACTAGCTTTCATTCCAACAGTTTACGGGGAAGAGATGAAAAGCGATTTAAATTTCGTTTCAGAGCTACATGAAAGCAATATCACTTTAATGATTTTTTTTAACTGATAATTATTCTCGGTAATTAAGATATGGAATATTCACCAGGACCTACATTACATACTAGGGGCTTAAGGACGAAGTGAAAGACTGGGATGCTAGCAGATGACCTCTTTTGTGGATGCTCATTTCCTTCCACTGTGAAAATAGTAAACTTCCTAAAGCTAAAAGCAAGGGGGAAAGTAGTTTGAACTATTTCAGTGAGTATTTATAACCTTTCTCTTAGAGGACCAGACCTTCTCTAACCCAGTGTTGTTGTAGCTATGCAGCTCTTAATAGGAGTGTGAGACTTTACATGACCCCATAGTCAGAGATCTGAGTGACTTTGACATTGTGGGGTGCTCTGCTTCCCCTCTCTGCTGCAAGAAAATGTTACCAGTGGAGATCAAGACAGCCAAACAGAAAGATTAGTCAGTATTACTGTTTCAATTCAGGTAGAGCAGGGACTAAGAGGTAAAATTCTCCTCCTGCCTATTGTCTTTGTCATATGCTTTTAGTCATTATGGAATTCGCTCTCATTTGCCAGGAAAGTTATCTTAAGTCTTGAAATTGTCACTTTAACACAAGGCCTGACAGCTGTTGAAGAACATCAATCCTTGCTAATGCCACACCTGTGCAAGATAACCCTGAGAGAGTGCTAGACATGACTCCAGGGTGGCTGGGCTGTAGCAGCATGTGTGCAGGTGCAAACTGTGGGGGAATTAAGGCCCTTTGTAGCTCAATCCTTTCTTTTAAAAGTGTGAGAACATACAGTCTCCTTTTCCCATTCCGTTTGACATGGGTTTTGGAAGAATTTAGAGATGGTAGCTCTCAACTGCAAAAAGAGTCTTGCTTATGGGACCTTGGTGGCCACCTTTGAGTGGACCATATCCATATATATACATTATGGATATATATATATATATATATATATATATATGTATTTTTTTTTTTTTCATGTTGTTTCTGGTCCTGTGAGTGACCCCACTCATGGGGCAATCTTATTTGTTGCCTTTCAAAGCTTGGCAGAAACCATGGCATAGGGTAACTAAGTGTTGTCAGATTATAGTGGTTCTTCATGTGTCTTGCAGCAGAGAATGGGGGTCTGCCAAGTGCTTACAGGAGCCATGTGGTAACTTTAGCTCTTACCTTTCATACTTAGATGCAGTTAAGTACTTAATGGTCTTAGAGTTTAAGCATGGATTCATGCACTTGTTTTCACTGGTTGGAAGTTCAGGTCAGGCTATTCTTTATAAGTTAAAGGAGGTAGTAATGTGATAGGAAAAGAAATACCAAGATTAGGGCCAGATGACCTTCAAGCTAGTTCAACAGGGTGTGGAATTGTGATTAGAATTGTTATTTGTGGCCAGAATGTAAGGTATTGATTGGATTCTGAATTATTTTGACTATCTTGTTTGTGTCTTTAAACAATAATAGAATTTCCTATCAGCCTCTGGTCAGTAGGAGTGGAAATAAGGAGTAAAGGCAACAATGAGTTTTTAAAGCCTCTGACTCACTAGCTGCTACCCTTTTAGGCTTCAGTGCACAGCAGAGCATGTTCCTCAGAGGCAAATCACCTTTTTCTTCTTTTGTAGTTTTTTCAATTTGACAGGAGTTCTTCTGAGACTGTTTATTTGTAAAATGGCTGTAGTTCAGGAAGGAAGAGAAAATTTTTTGTTAATTTCTAAAGGCGGTGGACTCTGTGGTCATTCACACATTTCTCAAGAGTGAATTACATGGCTTTGTGGAGGCCATTAGGAGTATTGGTTTCTCCTGGGGTAGGCTGTTGTGATATCGTACAGCTGTGGTCCTTGGATAAAAAAAGTCTCAAGTGCCATAGATATTACAGATGCCTTTGTTCCTCTGTTTTTCATTGAGAGAGAGTCTTCCAACCTGTTGTGTTCTATGCAGAGCTGAAAAAAGGAGCAGGTAGCCACATTCTAAAGAGGGTCTCCACTCCATCCAGTGAAGGTGTGTTTCTCTGCATTGAGGGTATGCCTGGAAGTCCAGGTCAATAATTTAACAGCTTAGAGTTGGGTAGTGCATGTACATCCTGCCCTTCATCCATTTGCAGGCATGTCCAAGTTCATTTCAGGCTTGCTGACTGTGCTGAACATTGTAGGGTCATGTGCTTAAAGAAGTGAGGGCACAGGACTGTGAAGTCATGAAAGAGTAGTTTTCATATGACTGAAGGACTTTTTCTTAACTTTTTCTTATTCTTCCTTACAGTCTGTGGAATGTTTTTATCTTTCATTTGTTTACTAATGTAATGGCCATTGGCATTTACACAGAAAGAAAGGAGTGTCACATTTCATATGACACTGAACAAAAGCAGTTTGGGGTTTAGATTTTAATAATGTTGGCTAAAGAAGTGTCTGTGCACAGTTCTTTATAATTAAGTTCTCTATTGTGAATATTTATTTAAAAATATTTTTCTTCATTTTAGCTACTTTAAGATGGCTTTTTTTATTGTTCGTCTGTGAGTGCAGTGATGTTGAGCTTCTGATTTTTTTTTTCTAGAAAATGTAGAAAATTGTAGGGCTATTCTGTTTAATTGGAGAAAAGCAGTATGTTCCTGACCAATAGGCTGAAATTAAGCAGTAAATAATATTGTCAAAAGGTTGCATAAAAGCAAAGTTTGTCTTATGTGAGACATGGTGTGGTGAGTGATTATTGAATAGCCAGGCCAGAAGGGAGGTTTTCCTTGGGTCTGTTGGGTAAAGACCTGCTTTAAAAAAAACAAAAACAAAAACAACTTATTTTAAAACAGCATAATGAGGAATTTTTCACATTCAATGTAAATTACTTTCTCTTGTTAATCTTAACGGTCGTTTATAGGAATGTGGTGGTTTATGACAATTAATTTGGAGTTTAGTGGATTTTTTTGTCCTTAAAACAATGTCTTCTTAGTTTGTGATATTTTCACTGTGTGCATTTTCTGTTAAAACAGAGTAGAAGGCACTTCCTTTGTTTTCTCTGTGTTTTTTCTTATTGTGCATTTCAGATGTGTGCCCTCTTTCTTCTTTCTGTTTATTTTGGCCTCTGGTTGCCATATAATGGGGGATCATGTTTAAAATGGTTTCAAGAGACCATTTCTTCATGTGAAGACTCTCCAGGGATGCCAGGAATAACCAACAATTAATGCAAGCACTGTTCTAATACTTGTTTGGAGTTGAGTCACACTGATGCTTGTAGCATGCATTTGTAGCACAGGGAAAACAAACACTGTGTGCTTGGCACCAGACAGCTTCAGGTTGGAAGAACCATAAGGGAGATGTAAGTGGGTGAAACCCAGGAGGAGGTAGTAAATAAAACAAGACTGGATGGTAATCAGTGTTTGGTATGAGAGAATTAATCTGAGGAGGTGTTGAAGCAGAGGAAAACAAAAACAAAGTCAAAAGTATGCTTGAGACCATATGTGAAGGTTGATGGTTATTTGGTTTGAAATGTATTAGGAAAGCAAGCAGAGGTGAACCTGTGGTTTCAGCTGAAAATAAAGTACCTAGCATGTGGCTGAGGGAGGGCAGAGTAATGAACCTCTCATTTTATTGAGCTGCATGAGTTGGATAAAGAACTTGTAAATAAATTTGAAACAACTGTTACCTCATTTTAAGGAACAGTAGCTTTTAAAAGTGAAACTTACGATGTTCATTGTGTTCCTTGATTGCTTGGCTGAAGATGAATGGCTGGATTTTACTCTCTGAGATCATAAAGCTGTATTATATGTTATCCTGAAATTAGGGGAAAGGCATAACCAACAGGTACAAAGCGTAGGAGTTTCATAGTCTGGGAATAACTGTGATAATGGAAAGACTCAGGAAAATGCTTTAACTTCTAGACAGTGTTTTACTGTTTGCTTACAGAGAATAAGTATAGTCTCACTGCTACAACAGTGGAAACTATGAAAGCCACCAAGGCTGACATAGAAAACGTGTGATTAATTTTATTATCTTAATAATCATGCGGTGATTCACAGAAAGTGCCAGGGATTTTTTCCATTTCAAATGGATTGCTATTTTACTTGAATACTTTCTAAGTAATAAACTGAAATTATTTGTAACAGAGCCCAGCTGAACTAGATGGATCTATACCAGCAGAGGATTTGTTCCAGTTTCCTCTTCTGTATTCATTAGAACAATTGGGAAACTGTTATTTTCATGATGTAATGCACTGGTTGTTTTAAGAGCTAATTCCCAAACAACATGCTAATTGGCCTGAAATAGTGCAGTGCATGTGGTGCCCCCTTGGGATTTGAAGTTACAGACAATCCTATTTGTTAGTGGCTTCAAAAATTAAACCTCTCATGAGTGTTTTAACTGTGCTTTTGTAAGGACTGAATGAATGAGTGCATGATAGTTCAAAACACCGTGTTCAGAGCAATTGTTCTATATTACATGATTGCTGGGCAAATTAGACTTACAGTGGAAATTTCCTTGTGGGGTACTGTGCTGAAATTTTCAGCTCACCAGCATAGGGTTGCAAAGATGTGATAGAAGGTATGACATATACCCTGGTCCAATTTTACAGTAAACTAGAAACCATTTAGCAACTTCTAATGGAAAAACAAGACAGATTCTTAGCAAAAGGAATGCAACATATAAACAGAGACTTGAAACGAATTAATTTAATTACATTTCATATAATTCTTCTGTATGTTCTATTGCCAAGGTGCTATATGCTTTTATATTGACACCGCTCTACTACATTATTGAGTGGTGGAAGAGGGGCTGGAAAGAGTTTTGACTTTTTACAGCTTTGTAAATGATGGTGAACACTTCAGCAATTTGGAATTTAGATTGACAGTTTTAACTGGATGTGCCTGAGCAGCTCATCAGGGACACAGAATTGATTAAGATCTTGCTACTTCTCCACCTGCCCTCCCTCATTTAGGCTTCTGCATCAACTTGATTAGCTGAACAACTCTGTTCTTAATTTTTCAGATTTGCTCAGGATGTCTCCAGAGTAGGGAAGATGATATTGTGCTGGATTTCATTTGATCCATGTCGGTGGTTTCACGACTGCGAGAACAGGGAATGTGCTTGTTTTCAAATTAAGGGTTATGTTTTTGTGTGGTGAGGTCCCATACTAAAGGAGAAATTTCTGCAGTGATTTCTACAGTGAGCAAAAACCTACTGTGTGGTTTGGGCCAAGATCAATGGTTGCATTCCTGATGCTGAGGCCCTCCTGCCTTGGGACTCATCTCTGGGCTGAGTCTACCATGAGAGACAATGAAGGTATAAAACTGGTGAGTAAGTAGATGTTTTACTGATGAATAATGATTCAATTACATAACTTAACTATAATATCTGCTAATGGGAGTGAAGTGCAGAGTGAAAGAGGCATCGTAGGCCAGTATATGTGAAATGTGAATTAATTCAAACAATGTAGAGAACATCGGAGACTTCTGCAGTATTTTTCTGAGTGTTATATGTGCCTCATTTTAATTGCTTGATGTTATTCTGCCAAGCTGCATGAAATTAAATAAAAGGAAGCTTACAATGGAACAAACAGGAAATGAAATAATAAGTGTAGTAAGATGTCTCTGGAGAGAATGGCAAGGGATTTGCAGTAATATTTGAGGAGTTATTAGATGTGAGAGTCCCACCTGTGTGTTCCAGCAGCCTTGTTTTTTTTACATCCATATAAAACGATATAAACTACATCATGGAGAGGAGTGAAGGTGGGAAAGCCTGCATGCTTGAGAAGCAGAGGCTGGATGCAGAAGAATTTGGAGTGGGATACAGAAGGAATGTTATATTTCTTCCCCTCTCTCTGAACCCCTCACCACAGCAAGTTTGGATTGGATGGGACATAACCACAACAACTGAAGAAACAGTAATTTGTGAATGTTTGAGTCAATTAAGAGTGATCTCCTACAATGTTTTCTCCATCTATTCACTGAAGTTGATGTCCATCATCCACCCCTCCCCAGTTGCCCTTGTACTTCATTACCTCTTATTTTCCTCTGGCTGCTCGCCATTATTTTCAGTGTCCTCATGCATACCTGAAATCATGGGGCAGTACTCCAGCTCTGCCTCCGTGAACTCTGTGGGTCCTGTGCTGTAGGTGGTTGAACTCATGCTAGGCTCAGAATTTACTAGAGGAACACTGTTAGACAGCATGGTCTGTTTTTCAGCCAGTTTGGGAGAGAGGCTAGTTTTGGCTGACTTGGTGTACTGTGGGCAAGATCTTCTTGCTGTGTAATCACCAGCAACAACAAAGACTTTTCTGGTTCCATCTTCTGTACAGTGCAGCTATTGCTGCCATTGTTAAGCTCTTCCCTCTAGTGCTGCCTCACCTCTAGCCTTGCCATCAAAAACGGAGGCACTTGCACAGGCTACTCATCATTATGTTTATTGTCACACTGCCTAACCCTGGTCAAATGGGAGAAATTTTTCCCTTCGTAAATGGAATTTTAGTGTAATATGCATTGGTCTTTCTTTAGTGTGTAGGCTTTGCAGTACTGCAGTTTGGTCAAAGCAGCGTGTTCAGCATGCTACTGTGATTTCAAGTATGCAGAAAGAGCCAGTCTGCTGGTTACCAGGCTGGCATATACTATCAGTTTTTTGAACACAGTGTTTACATCTTAGTCAATGTGCCTTTAGTTTTTTTCTTTTTTTTCCCCCACTTAATACAATGGAGCTAGCATTTTTGCTGACTGTGGCTCCCACTGGAGCTGATTGAGCTGGTATTTCTGTTCTCTAAGCCTTGTTTGTGGTTTCCATAAGGTTGAAAGTAGTTCTTGGTGCCCATTATGTTTTTTTCTGGCCTAAAATTTCATCCAAGTTTCATCTGTTCCAGATAACCCTTCTTTGGTTTATTGAATGTTTTCCAAAATTAGAAAGAAAGCATTTTCTGTGAAGTTTTCTTAATTTGAAATAGTCCGTGATGTTTCTGCTAGAGTAAACACCTTTTGCTCTACATGTAGTCAGTTATTTGTAGTGAGTTTGATATGGGACTAGGGCATCAAAATCATTTGGCTTATTGAACTGTAAGATGGGAATACTCTTTATCTGTCAGGGCTGGGAGCTCCCTCCTGGTAAGCTGTAGTAAACTCCGGAATATTAGTACTGAAATTTTTTATGCCATCTGCCTTTTTATTTGATGCTTCATCAAAATGTTTAGGGTTATTTTTAAAAATGAATGCATGGGGAAAAAATGTATTGCTTTGTCACTTGCAAAAGCCCCTTCTGTCATGGCATTGCAGAGTAGGTTTGGCAGAAGTTGGCATTTTTAGAGGAAAATGCTCTGCTGCTTTTATTTAATTCTTGCCAAGTTTAGAAATCTCTGAAAAATATGTGTCAGTAATAAAATTCTGGAAGTTTACCTGTCATCTCTGTGCAATTAAGGAATGGATGTCCCATCCTCGCTGAGCAAGCAAGAATGTTGCTGCCCAGGGTTACTGCAGACCTCCCTGAGCAGCTCCTTGCGGCTGCAGGCTCAGGTTAAACCACATCCTCAAAGAGAAAAGGAGCTTCTCTGCATTTCCAAAGTACCTAGTGACCAGCAGGTTATTTAAATGCAGATGAAATACATGCCAGGCTGTGTCAGGAGGTGGAAAGAGGGAGGGAAGGAAGGAAGCAGAAGGAATTTGGACATGGGCCCTGATGACTCAGGGTAGGAAAGGAAGTTACCTGGGAAGATAGGAGTTCTATTGGAAGATGCTGTGGTTGCCCAGAGATGTCTCTGAACCTCTTTTTTAGGTCCTCAAGCCTTATCCTTCCCTGGTTTCTTTAATGAGCTGCATGAGCATGAGGAAAGGATCCCTGTGAGAGCCTAAAATCTGTCTTTGGAGCAGGGTTTGGGCACCAGGTTTTGCATGTTGATTTCTGCTGGTCTGCATAACACAAACCCTGCCACCACACTTGCACTTAGAATTCTGTCACACAGAGCTTAGTGTCTGTTGGCACCGTGTTTGAGACAATGTTTGTACTTTTTGTCTTGTAAAATGTTCCTGTGTACCTTATTTGAGCTTTGATTTTATATATATGTTTACTCCATTCTTGCATTGTTTTGGGAGAACAAGTTGTTATTAGTAGATGTAAACCTGAGACATGATTTAAATAGGATGAAAGTTATTCAAAATAGGAATTGTCTTGAGGTTTTTTTCTTATGTCTTCAAATATTAATTCTTTGATTAATATTTTATGTGATTGAGTTTGTAGTATGAATTTTACCAGCTCCATACAGGAGGCAGCAAATACAAATTGTGTGATCTAACAGCTCAACAGATCTAACAGCTTTAAATTCCCCCTACATTGCTGTGTTTTACAGTTTTACAGACTGTCCTCATGGATCCTGCCCACCTGCTAAGCCTCACTGCTTTATCCATGGCTGCATCATTTCTAACCATGTCTGGTAAGGCCTTGAGGCTTTACTGGGGCTCCTGTCAGGAGCCATATGTATACTTAATAAGTCACAGTCAGAGTCCTGGAGGGCTTGCCATCTGAATGGAGAAAGACACAGCAGGTAAGTGACACACTCAAGCAGAGAAAAAAGAGGATCTGAAAGTTTGGCCAGATGTGGCTTGGTTTGGTGTTGAAGTTGGTGGGCAGTGCTACCCCATCACCGGGTTCTGTCTCTGCTACCACTGATAGGTGCAACATACATTCCTCTGCAGCTGAAGCTTCTCCTCAGAAACAGCTTGGCTTCATCCTCACATCAGCCAAACAATTCCCTATGGTTCCCTTTACTAGAAGAAAAGCTCTGGCAGTCAAATCCTTGTAATTTTTAGGTTAAAGTAATTTGTTCCCATATTAACAAATGGCCATGCATTCCTTGTTGTCTTCTGGTTTGGAGGACAGTTTTGTGTTTTTCATTTTGGTTTAGACAAATCACAGTGTTTCTTACATGAAAAGGCATGGCTTTTACCTTATGAGCATGCTTATAGTAGAGTTGTTGCTGCAAGTGTGCCTCTGTAGACACACTTGACATACCTTTGAGCTTCCTCATTGACAAACTGTTAGCAACACAGCTGCCACATTTTAAAGGTCAGTACCAGGTGACCAGATGCAATTTGAGTATTCTAGTTTTTAGGATTTTTTTAATAGAACTTAAATTTCTAGAGATTGAAGATCTAAGTGTGCTGCAGAAAATTTGTGGTCTTTAGAATTTTTAGATTCTTCTTTAGGATTCTTTAGATTCACCTCAAGCCTCTTGCCAGTGCCCTTCTCCAAAACAGTTCTGAAAGCAACACCAGTTCTCTTAGCTGCATTTTCCTGGTCTCAGGATGGAACCACAGTGATAATTTGGAATCATCCTGCACTCACAGTTCTTACAGACACTGCATCTTGCACTGCTAAACCTTGTTTTGTGTTCATTGACATGCTTTTCTTCACTCCTGACTTCACTCAGGGTAGAGTTGAACATTATCCTGAAAGATGACATTGATAAGCTCCTTAATAATGAGCTTTTTGCCTGGTAATTTCCCCTTGCTCATCTTTTAAATAGTTTATCTGACTTATATATCTTATACTTTTGCTGACTTTTCCCACTTTTTCCAGTTTAACCTGTGGAGTATTTTGCAAAATGATTTATTAAAATCCAAACAAACTGTGTTCCCATTTTTTCTGGGAATAGAATAGAAAAGAGACATTTTGGACTAGTATTCTCTGATCAGTCTTCTGTAATGTATTTGATCTGCTTTTATTTTCCATTCTTTTGTCAAGATCTGTGTGCTATCTGTAGATGACTGATGTGTCTGTGCTACCAAAATGACTTTTTTCCCCTCTTTCCTTCCAAGTATAGACACCATATTTGGCTTTCTTCAGTCATGTGGTACTCCCTCATTTGATGGATTTATTTAATATCTGTGCTATCAGACTTAAAATTTCATGTACCAACTTGTTCCGTGTCCTGTGATTAAGATGGTTCTGCCACCCAGACTTGACAGCAATAAGCTCCTTGGGTTTTGCTTCTATTTCAGTAATTTCTATCCCTGAGAACTCATTCTTATTAGCTGTCATGTGTCTGCTCCACTGTTCAGCATCTGTTTGGGTTTTCTGGAAAATGAGTGGCGATAGTAATTTCTTTTGAGAGGTATGTGTACATTTAACATGAAGTCTGCCCTACTCCAGAGAAGAACTTAATGATTCTTTCATGTGCTTACTGTAGTAATTTCTTTGGTGTTCTGGGTTTTTGTTTTATTGTCATTTTTTTTGTTTGTTTCTTTTCATATTTAAAATGTGTCTGAAGGACTGTCTCATTCTCTGTATTCTCTTAGCAGCCTGGTTCATCTTCAGCAACACTGAACATCTGTCTCATGTGCTTGTGAGTTTTGGGACAGCAGAACACATTCAGCAGTTGCAGTTTTAATTGCGTAAGACCTCTTTTTACAGTTTCTCCTTGAAATTATCTTGTGCTGGACCCTTCTCTTACCAGACTTTCTGCCCTAGGGGTAAAAGCTGTTATAATAGCTCTGTCACTGCTTCCTTCAAGAAATTCAGCATCGCTGTGCACATCTTGAAGGGTCTCTGCTTTTTTAATGACTTTGTGGAACTAAAGAAAAGGATTGTGGGAGAGTAGATGGATGCTGTAGGTCATCTTTCAAATAATAAAGAGAAGACGATAAAAACATGTATGTCTGTAAAAAGTACTATGGACTGTAGGTAGAACATAATTAATCTGAATCTAGATGCTTTTTTATGGGGCCTTTTGTCCCCTACTGCGGAAGAGGCTCAATATTTCTGAAATATTCCAGAGTAATTCCATTGCCAGCGACACAGATCATAAAACAAACCCCAGAGTTTTACTGTGGTTTTCTTGGGGAGAATTTAAATTGATCTATCTTTCTGGTTTCTTTTAGAAGTCTGGCAATTAGGAGCTTTGCAGACTTTCAATGTCAGCTTTTTCTTTCTGAAGATAGTTCACATAACAAAGACTGACCCAGTCTTGGAGTGGGTGCAGTAGCAGCATGGGTTTTGAAAAATTTTAGCCAGCTCTAATTGCTCCATGCCAAGGATGTAACTATACAGTGAGTTTTTGAATTCATCTAAACTGCACCAATTAAATTCTGTGTGGACAATTCATGGACTCTTTGTTATCCTCTAAAAAAATTGAAACTGCAAAGCAGCGGGGAAGC